TTGTCTCCATTTTTAATGCTTATAAAGCTGCTTTTACACCATCTCTATGTCAATAGTATATATACGAAGGAGGGCAAGAATGAGGGAGAGTAGTCATTGGAATTAGAATGTTAGCTATTCTATGGTTTATTTATGGAAAATGTGCAACATAGTAGGGATTGAGCAGTCTCATTGTGTGTGCAACTGTAACCCATGTAATTAATTTTCCTATAAACAGCATTTATGCTTCAAAGCTATATTTATGAGTCCTACAGAAATATTAAAATCAGATGTAGTTTGCATTTTGTTCAAATTACTTAGAAATCTGGAACCTGCCCTACCTAACAGTGGAGTTATGTATGTTGTTTTGTGGAGGGAGGGTTGATAGGTTTGTTGTTTTTTTTTGGTCTTGCTTTGAAATTAAAAGATATTGTCTCATAAATATTCTAAAGCATACTTACTATTCAGTCATAAATAAAAGCTGAAAGTTACCATAATTTTTAGACTGTAAGAAGTGGATGGAAAATCCCATTCCAAGACATTTAGATACAGGAGAGTTAAAAAAAAGCCTTAACTTGATCTGTAGGAGAGGGCAAATGACCCCCCAAAAAATAATAATTGTGATGTCACAGTGCAAACCACATGACTTACACACTTTTACATCAGACACAGGGATACAAGTATAAAAGGATGGGGGCTATGTTGTGATATTTCAATACCCTTTTCATAATTTCTGGTCATTTGTGCTGGATGTCTTTGATTTGATCCATCACTCACATCTAACCCTCAGTCATAATGTTAGGCAGAGACCAGCAAGTCCAGCAAGCCTAAACTATAAATAGGAGAGGGAAGTTTTCCTTCTTTCTCAGGTGAGCTTTTAAAAAACATCAGAAGTATCAGTAATTCCTTCCACTCTAGCATAAAACCATGTAAGTAACTTCAAATTTTGAAGAATCTGGAATTGGAGAGGTAAGACAAATACAGGAATGTAGCAAATAGAGCCAGATGTATATTAGGATTTCAGATTTATTTTCTGGAATGATCTGAGCTGTTAGGAATTTGTTGATCTTGCTCTCCGTGTTTTTGTTCAGGGCTAAAAAAGTTGCCACTGAGATAAAAACTTGCTGGTAACATTCTTATTAGTTTTCTCAGTGGTGGGATTCAGCCAGTTCGGGCTAGTTTAGGTAAACCGGTAGTTAAATTGCTGGCTGACTCCACCCCTTCCTGCCCCACCCCTTCGAATAGTCTCCACACGCCCCATTTTTGCTCCCAGGAAAGTGCAGGAAGGTCTCCTAGGCCCAAAATGGGGCACTGGGGGATGGCTGGCCCCACCCACCCTATTTATGCTTCCCAGGAGGCTTCAGGGAGACTTCCTAGGCCCATTTTCACTCCCAGGAGGCTTCAGGGAGGCTTCCTAGGCCTGTTTTCGCTCCCAGGAGGCTTTGGGGAGGCTTCCTAGGCCTGTTTTCACTCCCAGGAGGCTTCAGGGAGGCCTACTAGTCCCAAAACGGGGCACGGGGGGCAGCACATCCCCCCATGGCTCATTTTTGCTCCCAGGGGGGTGCAGGAGGCCGAGTGTTGCCTGTCACACCCACTATGGCCACGCCCACCCAGCCAGTCATTAGGGCAGAGAATCGGTTGTTAAATTATTTGAATCCCACCACTGAGTTTTCTTTCTTTGACTTTAAACCAGCTGCCTCTCATTTTGAACCCATTTAATATTTAGCACACAGTCCTACAGAAAAAGAAAGGAAGGAAATGATTGACAGGTGACTTGCTACCATATCCTCCTGAGTAAAAACAGACCATTTTCTTGAAAATAGATTGTCACAGCATACTTTATAGGCTGTTCTCAGGAGTGCAGGAGAATCTGAGATGACTTTAAATGGGGAGAACTAAAGCCAGGGGGTCCAGTTCATCACATGCTTCTGTATATGCATGTCTTATTATATCTGTTAGGATTACATTCAGTAGGATCAGTTTATAGAAAATAAGCAGTATTTTTATGATACTAACTATAACAATTAAAAAACCACAACATTTTGATAATGCCATTACTCAGTATGATTTTATTAGAAGGTGAGATTGTACTCATATTTCAAAGTACACGATAAGAGGATGATAAATACTATCTCAATTTGGTACATTGCTTGGACTAACATTTGTTTAAACATTAAATTGAAAATTTTGGAAAGCAATAAAGACAATTCCTTCTCAATAATTATTTGCTGTGAAAGCTAGCAGTAAGTTATAGTGCAAGGAACATTTAAGGAAAAAGCATCTAGACTAGATACTCCAAGCAAAGCTCCATTGAAAATACATTTATATTTTGAAATCTTGCATTCTGAAGTGATAAAAGAGCTGTGTATGGAAACTCGACATCTTGTAGGGATGGGAGATGAGCACCAGTATTTGCATGAAATCCTCTATGATGCACTGTTTATGATGCATTGCTAATATAGTGATTTACTCCCCAATCCAGAATTCCCTAATATCCTCTTAACAGGAAATAAAAAGAGGCGCTGAATTCCAGCAATTCAACTATCTATGTTTGGAACCATTATACTTAATGTCCATTTCTGAGTCTTTTTCTCTCAACATTATGGTGTACTAAGAGAAGGCTGCTCTCTTGTTAAGAGTAGAGATACTTGCAGCTGGTTGCCAGAATAATAGTTGCTCGAATCTTTTTCAATCTGAAATTCTTTATATCGAAACTGTCTTCTCCCTTCTCTTTCACTTGGTCTGTTGTTACTGCTTTAGCATCCATTTTTAGGGAAAGAAAAAAATTGAAAAAGCTTCATTTTAGCATGATCTCAGCCAAGGGCTATAGTGACTATGATATTACCACATTACGGAATCAATCAGATTTGGCTATGTTATGGTATTAGTGAGAACAAGTTACATTTTTTCAACTGCAAATTAAAACATTTCTTTTGTGAATTAAAGCATTTTAGAAGGTAAGGTTTCAGGGTGGAGGTGACTTTAAATCAAAAAAAGACACTCTTGGTTACCATATATGCACCAAACAAAGGACAAAAAGAATGTTACAAAAAACTCCACAAGATACTTGAAACAGAATATGAAAATATTTGTCTTATAGGAGACTTTAATGCAATAGTTGACACAAAACTATTACAAAAGTGGAAAAGTAAATAAAAGAACAAGAAGGACCTTACCCAGAACCTTTGTTAAAATGGTAGAAGAACTATCAATACAAGACATATGGGGAGAAATGAATCCAGGGAAAATTCAGTATACATTTTATTCTAATGTGCATCAATCTTGGTTCAGAATATATATGATTTGGATGACTCCAGAACTGAGTGTAAACGTGCAAGAGATAGAAATAAAAACAAATCTATGGGCCAATCACAACCCAGTCAAAATCAGTTGGAAGGGACAAAAGAGAAGAGTAAGGCTGACTTTAAATCAATCTATAACAAAAGATAAAGAATTTATACACATGATGGAAAGAGAACCGGGTTTTTTTTTTAAGCAAACAGAAAAGAGGAGACTTCATTACAGAATGTGTGGGACACAGCAAAAGCATGTATCAGAGGATTAGCTATAATCCATATAATGAAGAAAAATAAGAAAAAGAAACAATATCAAAAGATATTGGAAGAAGAAAATAAAGGACTTGAAATAGAGTTACAAAAAGAACCACAAAAGGTGTGCTTAGAAGGTAAGGCTTCAGGCAGGGACAGGGTTTGTTTAGGTACTTCTATGGAAGCTACTCTGCCAGCTGTTGTAGTTGAAGGTAAAAGGGTAAATGAATACCAAATAGATAAATATTTCCCCAGAAGAGAGTCCTATTGCATCTAATGTCATTGGGGTGAAAACATATCTTTAACTTGCTAAGATGCAAAATTCCTCCTTCACTCTTATGTAACAGGAGTTATTTTTATCTGGCTGCTTTTGAACTATGTGGATCTAGGCGGTTTGTTGCAATTATCTTTTCACTATGATAAAACTACTTGATGAGTTTAATGTGCTGCTTGAATGCACTCAAAAATTAAAGAGTGTTCAGGATTTCATAGAGAAGTTATAACAGTTTGTATAACTTTGAAAATGTTGGGGTGTGTGGGTATCAGGTGAATCATAAACATTTATTAGATGGGTGTGGTGGCCAAGAGGTTAAGACACTGGGCTTGTTGAATGGAAGGTTGGCTGTTTGAGAAAAAGTACCGCATGATGGAATGAGCTCCTATTACTTGCTCCAGCTCCTGCCAACCCAGCAGTTCAAAAGCATGCAAGTGCAAGTAGATAAATAGGTATCACTTCAATGGGAAGGTAACAACATTCCAGATGCCTTTGGCATATAGTCATGCCGGCCGCAACAACGGAAGCATCTTCAGACAACTCTGGCTCTTCAGCTGTGAATCAGAGATGAACACTGCCCTCTAGAGTCAGACATGACTGGATAGGGGAAACCTTTACTTTGTTTTTTTACCTTAAACATTTATTATTGACTTCCCCAGGTAAACAGAAGTTATTAGTCAAGGTCTCTCCACAGTTTGTTTTCTCTCTGAATAGGATTTATTCTCATTTTGTTACAGTGACAATTGCTACCCTGGATGGAATAATAATGCCACACATTTGGAGAACATTATTGTCAGGTATGCTTCCTTCAGTATCCAGGAAAGAAAAACCCAAACTCAAGCATTTTGAAGAATTTGGTACTTTTACTGAATATGAAATGATTAACAACCCAGGTAAAGCTGGAAGTGAGCAAAACGCGCGAAATGCATCTACTAAGCTTCTTCCCCCCCTCGTGTTTATAAATCATCAGCCAATCCAAAGGTCTTCCAAAGGTCAGGTGGCAACACGTCTGGCAGCGTCATTCATCAGGAATGTCGGACAGTTGGTCAGCCATCCCCTTTTGAAAATTTAGTTTCGTTTCTCACGAAGCCCCTCCTACAAAGACAAAACCAACTCCTGCTCCCTTCCCCCCCTTAGCTCCATACTAATCCCTCCCCCCGTTTCTTATGGCAGCTGAAGCAGGCAAGCTGAGGCTGACAATTATATTGACAAGCCCGCCATAAATTTGTAAATCAAGATAAGTAGCATCAGCAGGGAAATATTGCTTGAGATGGTAGGTGGGAAGCTTGGATAATTCACTATTTCTGTTTGGATAATTTATTATAGGTTTTTAACTCAGATACTAATTGAAATAATCTGGTAATTGAGTATCTTAGTAATAAGCACTGTTCCAACATAGGTCACAGCACAAGTTCACTGCCTACACTATAATGTACATTTCAATTAATGTTCTGCTTTATTTCCAAGCAGAAATCTCTCAACTGCTTTTAGGTACAGATGTTTCAGCAGAAACTTAATTCTACCACGGAAGCCTCTGACTTTTACTATTGCTTGTCCTTCAGGAACAAAGCATTCTAGTAATTGGGTTAAAATCTGGTGTCTATGGAGATTCTCAGTCATCCAGGTCATGGTTGTCCCAAAGGTGCTTTTTCAAGAGACAACTGGTTTTTCTTTGAAGATGTTTTGCTTCTTATCCTTCAGCTCTGACTGGATGATGGGGAACGGAAGGACCTTCAAACCTCCAAGTGGCCTCAACAACTCTGAAAAAATGCAAATGACCAACTGCCTGCAATTAATATAAATCCTTCCATTCCCTACCATCCAATCAGAGCCAAAGAAGCTTCTTGAATGAGAAGTTTTGTTTCAAAGAAAAACAAAAAAGCCCAGTTGCCTCTTGAAAAAGCACCTTTGGGTTAAGATCTGGTGTGCTTCATTGCTCCTGTTGGCTGTGATGGATGGGGGATCTGCTTTTATCTCCACATTCTCTCTTCAATAGTTAAATACAAGATTTTCTTCCCACTAATTCCATGATTTTCCTTCATGAAAAACCTCAGTCATTTTGATTTTTGTTTATATAAATTGCACCACCAGAAGCCATTAGGTAGAGATTGCAAACTGTCTATCGTGACCATACAGCAGAAACTGTGGTTTCTCCAGGGAATAGGAATGAATGAGAGGGAAGGCAGACTTTGGCATGGCACCAACATCAACAGAAATATTGTCCAACTCATGCTTTTTTTGCCTTGCTCTTTCTCAGTTGTGGTCTTGTTGTTGAAGGTGGGTATTGTCATGTTGAGGAACTCTTGCAGTAATTAGTGTTTGCCACACATATTCTCAAGTTGATTTTCCCTTTCCTCCTCCATCTTTTCTTATCATCTCATTCTGTACTTTATGATTCTGCAGATATGCAGTCCTTTCATCCTCTTTTTTTCTCAACTCTCCTCCTCCTTGCTGCAACCTAACAATATTTGGTGTCAAACATGACGTCTGCCCTCTCTTTCCATATGGCTTAATTATGATGATATATTTTTATTTTTGTATTATATTGTATTGTATTATATTGCATTGCATTGCATTGTTAGCACAATGTTGTAAATTACCATTCTTGTCTCAGAACAGTTTGGAATCCTTGCTAGCTTCTCTGTTGAATTGTAGGAAGCTGTCAAAGACAGTTTATAAATAGAATCACATGACCTTCTGAGGGCTACTCTGGGACTGGTCTGTTTTGACCTAGGCTTCCTGAGTCATTAAAACACACGAATAGTCCCAAAAACCTCTTTTATTGCAACAGCTGTGAATTCTGTTCATTCATAGATAAGTCCCAATTAGTTATAAACAGTCCTTTGGGGGAAGTCCTTCGGGATAACCACCCATCTTTATCTTCTTTGACACGCTGCCAAAGACCTAATTGGCAGAGCCACACGGAGTCCAGAATCAAACAGAGCTTCAGGCTTTAAGCTGAACCGAATGAACAAATGTTGCTTCCTGCAAAGGCCCATATGCCTTTGCGCCTCTTTTAAGTCTTATGGGAGGGGCCAATCATCTCCTAGTCCTACTCCTGAGTTGTCCCTTTTGTTTAACTGTTCTTGTTTTCTGGCAGCTCTGCACATGCGCACATTGGGAACAGGCTCCCCCTGTTCCTCTGCCTCGCTGAGGTCCAACTCTGGAGGCAGCACGTACCTCCCAGATGGCCCTTTCTCTGCCTCCGATGCAGAGCCCTTGTTTGAGCCTTCCCCAGACTCCAGGACTGGATCATGGTCCTCCCCAGCCTCCTCACTGTCCGACTCTGCTGCCAACTGTGCAGGCTGCTGGCAGACCACAACATGGTCTACTTGATCTTCAATGGCCAATAGAGGGGCTGGTCTACATTCAGATTCAGAGTAGGAAGTGGTTGAAAAATGAAGTGGGTCGATCAAGGACTAAGGTATAATGCAATGGTGGGATTCAAAATATTTACTACCAGTTCTGTGGGCGTGGCTTGGTGGGCATGGCTTGGTGGGCGTGGCAGGGGAAGGATACTGTAAAATCTGCATTCCCCCTCACTCCAGGGGAAGGATATTATAAAATCTCCATTCCCTCCCCACTCCAGGGGAAGGTTACTGTAAATAATAATAATAATAATAATAATAATAATAATAATAATAATAATAATAATAATAATAATAATAATAATAATAATAATAATAATAATAATTTTATTTCTATACTGCCCTTCTCCCGAAGGACTCAGGGCGGTGTACAGCCTAATTAAAAACAGAATAAACATCAATTTAAAATAATTTAAAAATATTAAATAAATTTGGCTTAATTTAAAACCCCAAAAATTTAAAACATCCAATTTAAAATTATGTTGCTAACCCAGCCTGGCGGAACAATAGGGTCTTGAGTGCGCAGCGAAATACCCGGAGGTCAGAAATCTTACGAATTTCCGGGGGCAGTTCATTCCACAGGGCTGGGGCTCCCACAGAGAAGGCCCTCCCCCTGGGTGTCGCCAGCCAACATGACTTGGCCGATGGCACCCTGAGGAGACCCTCTCTGTGGGAGCGGACTGGTCGGTGGGAGGCTATTGGTGGCAGAAGACGGTCTTGAAGGTACCCGGGTCCAATGCCATGGAGCGCTTTAAAGGTGGTAACCAGCACCTTGAATCGCACCCGGAAGACCACTGGGAGCCAGTGCAGCTCGCGCAGGAGGGGTGTCACGTGGGCGCAATGGGTTGCACCCATAACCACCTGCGGGGCCGCATTCTGGACCAGTTGGAGCCTCCGAGTGCTCTTCAAGGGGAGCCCCATGTAGAGAGCATTGCAGTAGTCCAACCGGAAGGTAACAAGGGTGTGAGTGACTGTGCGCAGGGCGTCCCGATCCAGAAAGGGCTGCAACTGGCGAATCAGGCGGACCTGATAAAAGGCCCCCCTGGCCACGGCCGTCATATGTTCTTCTAAAGACAGCTGTGCATCCAGGAGGACACCCAGATTGCGAGCCCTCTCTGTGGGGGGCAAAGATTCACCCCCAATAGTCAGCGATGGCATCTGCTGACTATATCGGGACGCCGGAAGCCACAACCACTCGGTCTTGGAAGGGTTGAGTCTGAGCCTGTTCCTCCCCATCCAGACCCGCACGGCCTCCAGGCAGCAAGACATCACATCAAGGGCATCGTTGGGGTGGTCTGGGGTGGAGATGTACAGCTGAGTGTCGTCAGCGTACAGGTGACACTTCACCCCAAAACCACGGATGATCTCACCCAGCGGCTTCACATAAATGTTGAACAGGAGGGGCGAGAGGACCGACCCTTGCGGCACTCCCCATGCGAGATGCCTCGAGGTCGACCTCTGTCCCCCTGCCAACACAAACTGCGAGCGGTCGGAGAGGAAGGAGGAGAACCACCGCAGAACGGTGCCCCCTATTCCCAACCCCCTCAACCGCCGCAGCATGATACCATGGTCGATGGTATCAAAAGCCGCTGAGAGGTCTAATAGGACTAGGACAGAGGAACAACCCCTGTCCCGAGCCCTCCAGAGATCATCCACCAACGCGACCAATGCCGTTTCTGTGCTGTGCCCCTGCCTGAAGCCCGACTGGCACGGGTCCAGATAGATAGCTTCATCCAGGTGTCGGGGAAGCTGTCGTGCCACCACGCTCTCAACAACCTTCGCCACAAAACGAAGGTTGGAGACTGGACGATAGTTGGCTAATTCAGCCGGGTCCAGGGAAGGCTTCTTGAGGAGAGGCCTCACTACCGCCTCTTTCAAGGTGGCAGGAAAGGCACCCTCGCTCAAAGAAGCAGTTATAATCCCCTGGAGCCAGCCTCGTGTAACCTCCCGGGAGGCCAGTACCAACCAGGAGGGACACGGGTCCAATAAACACGTGGCGGCACTAATCTTACCCAGAACCCTGTCCACATCCTCGGGAGCCACAGGATCAAATTCCTCCCAGATAACATTCTCAAGACCTGCCCTCGTCTCCTCCCGTGGACTCATCCAATCGGAGTCCAAGCCATCCTGAATCCGAGCGACTTTATCGTGCAGGAATTGCACAAAATCCTCAGCACGACCCTGCAAGGGATCTTCCCGCACTCCCCCCCGAAGAAGGGAGTGGGTCACCCTAAACAGGGCGGCTGGGCGGTTCTCTGCAGATGCGATAAGAGCGGAAAAATGGTTAGATTTTGCTGCTTTTATTGCCACTAGGTAGGTCTTGATATAAGACCTCACCTGTGTCCGGTCGGAATCGGATTGACTAGTCCTCCAAATGCTCTCTAGGCGTCTTTTCCGACGCTTCATCTCTCACAGCTCCTCAGAGAACCAAGGAGCCAATTGAGATCGGCATCGGGTCAGAGGCCGCAAAGGCACGACGTGGTCCAAAGCTCCAGCGGCTGCCCTTTCCCAGGCGGCCACCAGCTCTTCAGTCGAGTCGTGTGTCAGAGTCTCAGGAAATGGCCCAAGCTCCGTCAGGAACCTTTCGGGGTCCATCAGGCACCTGGGACGGAACCATCTGGTCGGTTCTGTCTCCCTGCAGTGGGGGAAAGCGGTAGGAAAGTCCAGGTGGAGGAGTGAATGATCTGTCCATGACAAGGGTTTGATGTCTAGATCCCCTCTACCAAGATCATTCAACCACTGACCAGAGATAAAAATCAAGTCCAGAGTGTGTCCCCCTATGTGAGTGGGGCCTTGAACTTCCTGGGTCAGGTCCATGGCCGTCATGGAAGCCATGAACTCCCGAGCGACCTCTGATGCCTCACCCGCAGATGGAAGGTTGAAATCCCCATGACAATAAGTCTGGGGGTATCAACCGCCACCCCGGCAATGACGTTGAGTAGCTCAGGCAGGGTCGCTGCCACGTGGCAGGGAGCCAGGTACGTGGCCAGCAAACCCATCTGCACCCCACGGCCCCACTTCACATAAAGGGACTCACATCCGGCTATCTGAGGAACAGTGGTCTCCCTCGGACAAAGACTTTCCCTAATAATCACCGCCACTCCCCACCCCTCCCCTGGGCCCTTGGCTGATGAAATGCATGGAAACCTGGTGGGCACATTTCGACGAGGGGGACCCCCCCTCTTGGCCCAACCAGGTCTCAGTAATACCTGCCAGGTCGACCTCTGTCCCCCTGCCAACACAAACTGCGAGCGGTCGGAGAGGAAGGAGGAGAACCACCGCAGAACTTCCTCCCAATCAGTTGGTACTTGGGAGGCAGAGAAAAGATGGGGTGGGGCCAGTCAGAGGTGGTATTTATCAGTTCTCCGAATTACTCAAAATTTCCGGTTCTCCAGAACTGGTCAGAACCTGCTGAAAGCCACCTCTAGTATAGTGGTTAATGTATTTTATCGACCCCAACAAAGATTCCATTTCTACCCACAGCAGCTCACTTGGTGACTTTCAGCCCAACATACCTCACAGAGTTATCGCGAAGAAATATACTCCATGTATATGCCTTGGGTTCCTGAACAAAGATGGGATATAGATCCATGTGCATGGTTGTGTGTCAGAGAAGGACCCCCTAAAGCAGTACAAATGTCCAGCCTTTCTTCTTCATGCACTTTAAAGTTGTTGCTTTTTAAAGGGCCACCTGATGAGTTAATTATTTGCTGCTGAGTGTAGTGAGGAGTAAGAGATTGGGAGACTTCCAGGAAAACTGTCACAGAATGTTCAGAATGACTATTGTTTAACCGCAGCAGCAGCATCAAGTGGCCACAACTTTCCCAGATTCCATTTTCTCTGGATTTTGGATGCATTCTATGTGTTAGCCTATTTGAGATACCTTGGTTGGGAAATTGCTGCCCTATGACACACTATTTCACCCAGTTAATGGCAATGACAACTAGAGTTGTAGTAGTATGTACGTAGATATTCCCCAATAATTTATTAAGAAAAAGAAACAGAAATGTGAAGCTAATATGTGAATAGTTAAAATTACGCCTCTATCTACATCTCTATCTACCTCTAGATTATTTTTTTTCCCTATCATCATATCCATGTTTCCCTGAAAATAAGACCCTGTCTTATATTTTTTTGAACCCTGAAATAAGCACTTGGCCTTATTTTCAGGGAGGTCTTATTATTTTGGGGCTCGTGGAGCAAGATGGGGCTCCTCTTGCTGTCTTACCTGATTTCCAGCTCTGCATTTAAATATTTTTGGGGAGGGCTTATTTTCAGGGAGAGGCTTATTTTAGTGCATGCACTCAAAAGCCCGATTGGGCTTATTATCAGGGGATGTCTTATTATGGGGAAAACAGGGTAAATGTATATGAAACACTGTTTTCAACACTTTTGTATGCTTATTTGATGCTTGAGATTTCCCTCTTGTCTGCTTCAAAGTGACTTCACTATAAAATCTAACAATTTTATAAATACATTTTATTGCATTGGGTTTGGTAAGGGAATTCCACAACAGTGGAAACAAATGTTTTTCTCCACATCTATCTGAATTAAAATCAGAGTCAGACACTTATTTATAGTGTGAATTTCACTTGTTAATGTGACATCAATAACCTTCTTCTGTCTTTCAGCTTTAAGATGGCTTCCTGTAACACCTGTAGAAAGTGAAATGAAATTATCTTTCAGTGAAAGTATGACAACATCCCCCCCCCTTCCTCCACCTCCCAATCTTTGGCATTGATAACTTTCACACATTCTGGGTAACTGTTTCAAATTTCCAAATGTATTGTGATTCACCGAAGAGGAATAAGAAATATTTAAACATTTTAAGTCACTGTTCCTATCACAGAATCAACTCTCCCTAAAATAAGATTTCCATAATTCCTCTGTCCATGAGCTACAATTTTGTTTATTGGAAGAAGTTACACTCAAATGAAGGGAACATGGTAATTGCATTTTGTAGTGAATTATTTATGACATAAGAAGCTAGATAAGGCTTCAAGAGCATCCTAGTGAAGCATTTTGTTGATCATAGTACTTAACTAGAATTTTTTGAGGTTTCATCATTGCTCTCCTGAAAATGGGATTTAGACAGGGGTGGGCTACTGGAGGTTCGGTGGGGTTCGGGAGAACCTCTAGCTAAGATTCTGTGCAGTTTGGAGAACCCCCAAATCCCACTTGTGGCTGGCCCCACCCATTCCACCCGCCTCTCCCAGGAGTCCCCATGTGGCCTGTTTTGGATGCAGATAAGTGCAGGGCACGCGCAAAGGCTCGGGGAGGGTGAAAAACGGGCCTACCGGAAATTCGGAAAGGCCAGAAACAGGCCCGTTTCCGGCCTCCAGAGGGCCTCCAGAGCCTGGGGAGGCCGTTTTCACCCTCCTGGAGGCTCGAGAAAAACCTCCAGAGCTCGGGGAGGACAAGAACGCTCCCCTGCCATGGTGCAGGAGGCTGACTAGGCCATGCCCACCATGGCCATGCCCACCCAGCAACTGGGCAGAGAACCCCTTGTTAAAATTTTTGAAGCCCACCCCTGGATTTAGAGGCAAGCTGCTTCCAACTAGAGAACATCAAAACCTTCCCATGTGTTCATCTAGCCTGTTTTTAAAGCCATCCAAATTGCAACCTTCAACATGTTCATGTGGTAATCCCACAGTTTATTTCTGCCCTCTTTGAAGTAGGCTTTCTTAGATATTGTTTAGATTGCCTTCCAATCAGCTTCACTGGATCACCCTCATCCTTATATTTTGACTGACAATAAACATTAATTTTCTTCAACCCATACAAGATTTCATACACCTTAATCATGTTCTCTTGTGTTTCCATTTTTAGCCTTTTCTACTAGCCATTTGTAGAGGAGGGCAACCAAAACCTAATAATTTTGATCGTCTTCTTCTTCTGTATTTTTTCCAGTTCTATTAATATTTTTATAGACATGACAACCTAAACTTTATACCATACTGTGGCAGAGAACACTCCATAATAGAAGAGCATTAGCATTTTTATTTTCAGGCCTTAGAATGGAATTTGTCTTTTTAAATTACTGCTACAGACTGAGTTGACATCTTCACTGAGCTATATTCCTTGATCCAAATGACTTTTTCCTGGTTAGTTACAGATAGCTCACATCCCATTCCTTTGTGACACTCAGGGATTTTTGGCCAATATGCATTACTTTATTCTTAAATAAAATTCCATTTGTCATTCCATTTGGTTGACCTTCTGGAGTTCTTTCCAATTACATTTGGGTTTTGCCTGAATAGTATAGTATAATCTGCAAACTTGGCCAGTTCACTGCTTGATTCTAAATCAAGTCCATTTTTAAATAGGTTCAAAAATACTGATCCTAGCAAGTAAAAGAAACAATGATAGCTTGGGGAAGAAACTTTGGATATTCAATTGATGTGGAAAAATGGCAACAACTATGGGAAAGGAATTATAAATTAACGGTGTCCACTGCATATAAGAAAAATCCATATAAAATGTTTTATAGATGGCATATGCCACCTGAGAAATTAGCAAAAATGTTTGAAGAAAAATCAGCTAAATGTTGGAAGTGTCATATGTGGTGGATATGTCCAGAAGCTAAAAACTATTGGATTAAATTTAAGACTTGGTTGGAGGAAATGATACATCAACGTATCGAATTTAAACTAGTGCTGTTCCTACTGGATATCCTACCTGAAAAAATTAGCAAGGAAAAAGTTTATCTAATAATATGTGTAATAACAGCTGCAAGGATTGTCTATGCACAAAATTGGAAAGCGGAAAAAATACCTTTGGAAGAAGAAGTAATAAAAAAATCTTAGATTGTGCAGAAATTAATAAATTAACTCTGATGATTAAAGATAGAGAAGACTCAGAATATTTTAAAATATGGTTATTGGTTGAGGAAGAGATATAAATGATTAATTATATAAGTATGTAAAAATAATTATATAAGTATGTAAAAATATGTGAAATATTTTGTTTCTAATATAACTAATATTATGTTAGTGATGAATTGATATTGTGGACTGGATAAGGATCAAGATAGAAGTAATGACAACTATACAGAAAAAGGAAGAACTTTGGAAGATAACACCGAGATGTCACAGGGAAGAGGAAATTGATGTATTAAATGTTTGTTTGTCTAAAAAATAAAAAACTTTTTAAAAAAAATACTGATCCTAACATAGATTCCTTCTTAACTCCTTCATTAGAAAGTGGTTGATTCATTCCTAAGTGTCACTTTTTTTAACCATTGTCAATGGGCATGTTTTCTTATCCTACAACCATTAACTGTACTTAAGAGTCTTTGATGAAGAGTTTTGCCTTTTTGGAAATCTAAGTGTACTACATTACCAAGGGCATTTCTATCCCTATTCACATGCCTGTTGACCCTTATAAAAAGTTGTTTCATGTAGGACTTGTCTTTGATTTTCCTTCAACAATGCCTACTTACCTTATCTTGGAATATCACTTCTATCAATTTGCCTATCCAGATAGTTCTCACTGGACAACCACTCATTCAACTATTCAAAGTTATGAAAGCACTGAATGAGGGGGACTTCTGACAGCTCTTTATAGTTGCTGGTCATTTGGGCACTTAGCAACCAGCTCACAATTATGACATCACAGAGTCCCACAGTCTCAAGATCACCATTTGCAAAATGACAAGTAAAGTCAATGCAGAATCCAGAAGAAAGTTGCAATTGGTGATCATGTGACCTCGGGATGCTGCAATTGCACAGGATTCACCTAATGATGATAACAGGAATCGTTGCAACTGCCATTATAAGTTGATGTGGTAAGTGACATGGTACTTTACAACTGCATCACTTCGTGATGGAGTTGCCAGTCCCAATTACCATAATTAAGTGAGAGCTTCCCGTAATTTCATGAATCTTCTCTTTTTTACATATTGGTGTCATATTGGCTACCTTCCAGTCCTCTGGCCCTGAAACTGACTTGAATGACAAATTACTTATTTTTCCTAGAAATACAGCTTTCCACATTTGAGTTACTTAAGAATGCTCAGGCAGATATTACCAGTATGTGGTAATTTGTTATAGTATAATACCTTAAGATGTTCTACAATGTCTCCTCTTGTTATCTCAAATAGTTTTAATTGTTCTGATTTCCTTCCTGAGAAAATCAGTACAAAATGAGCTATTTGTCTTCTATCTTTGACAGTAAAGATAAATGCAGAGAATTCAATCAATTATCTACAATCTCTACATTCTCCGTGAGGATCCCTTTTCTTACTTTGTCATCTAACAGCCAAACTTCATATGTATGTTAAAATTACTTATTATTCTCCAACCGTTGCCCCCTAAGAGTTCCTAAAAAAATGCTTAACTTTCACAGCTTCTTGGTCCTTCTTACAAAACTATGCTGGCTTCTTTCTGGATTTGAATTATCTCTCTCTTACATTATGGAATCCCATTTGCATATATTCATTCCTCAGAGGAGTAGCCTAAGTTTATGATTTGATCCCTCTTATACAAACATTTCTGATTCTCAGATTGCAGTTCTCCTTCCCCAAGACCCAAGCAAATGATCATCCTGGAACTGGGGCAAAGCAAGTTCCAGTTTACATCTGGAAGGTCTCTTCTACATATCTTTCTAGCTGTCTCAGCATTTCCAGTTCACTTATCTTGGTTTCAAGGGAAAGGATTTCGTAAGATTTGGGAGCTTTATGAGCAAGAGTAATCTATGACTTATTCTCAAATACGTTCTGTGCAGTAAATGGGAAAGCATCTCCCCCTTTGCTGATCTTCTATCTTCATAGAGGTTATTGTGTATTCTTTTTTTAGAAACTGTTCAACTTAAAATATCACATCTGTACTATGCAGTAGTTGCAGAGTCTATTGTGAATACTTCAAGAGTAAATACATGTTGTCCAAGATCTATTTTAGTCTGTCATTGGTAAATTCTTTGTAAGTCCTTTTCTAGATGTTCCCACCCAAGAGACCATGTGTAACTTGACATTTTTATGAAAATGGAAGAGCGGTGGATACTAAAAGAAAAGGTTTCCATTGACCAGCAATGATATGAAGCTGAAGCTTGAGAGCTATTCTACAGTAGCTAGAATGCCTGAAGCAACTATTTTTATTCTTTTTCATAAGAAGTAAAAGCACAGGGTTTCAGATACGTATTATTCTAAACTGGATTAAGGAGAGTTTTGAAAATTACACATCAACATTCTTTGCTAACTGGCAAAGATACTTAACTTTACCATATAAATGTCAAGGAGTAAGGCACCTAGCAACCAGCTTGCAAGCTATTTTTGATGGACACGCGCATGCACGCACACACACAGAGTATATACATACACATAGAATAGAGTAGAATACAATATATACAGCCAAATGTATTGAAAATATCACACAAGATACAGACTACGTAAAAATAGAGAAATTTGCCTATCTGCAAAAGAGTTGATGGTAGAAGTTATGTAAAATCCCCTACTTGGAGATAAAATATAATGTAAACTCTGTACCTGTATCTTAAGGGAAGGTAAGCTCTATCTAGAACCTAGAATCTAGAACCTTCAAGAGTAGTATAAGCTACCATATTTTGTATTGCTTTTTCTATCCTTTGGATGGTGTTGAACATCTACCTGAAGAAATGCGGCTAGTCAGTAAATAATACTGAAATACATTTGATGAACTGTTACAATTATTGGTATATTGTACGTCAGCTTAACAATTCTCCCAAAGCAGCTTGCTAGCTACTATGATAAACAGCACAATATTTTCTTTTACAAAACAATAGTGCAACTTCTATAATCTTTCTCCTAAGGCAATTATTGATAATGATCCAGATGTCAATTTGAGATTCCAGCTGAGAAAGATTCAAGCATAATCTTTGCTCGCCCTCTTTTTTTTTTTTTTCTTAACTGGGTTTCTTCCCTTGATGATATTGGCTTGCTGTAGAGTTCCTAAGTATACCACAGCTGGCATTTCCAAAATTAGACAAAATTGAAAAAAAGTTGGAATCTGCAGATCAAAGTCTCTATGTGTCCATGTTCTCTGTCTTTGATCACAGCAGCCTATTGTGTTATACATCTTCCTCCTAATCTAACCCCCAGATTCTTTTTTTAAAAATAAGAACTCTATCACTCGGCGATCAGACTATACACATGCATATACACACATCTGTCTGCAATATGTCATAGTAGTCAAACAGAATAGAAAGGTTTTTAATTTCCTTTTAGCAACAGGCCACTATGGGCCAGTCATGAGCAATTTCCTTTATCATAAGACTACTGGAAAGATAGCTCATTAATTCAAGCTGGAGGTTGATGATGATGACACAGCCCCTGCTTTTTCTACTTTCAAAAAAAAAAAAAGTTCTAGTAATTGTTGTTTATCCGCCAGCAGTTTATGATCTCCTCCTGCTATTTATTGACATTTTTCTGATGCTTTAGAGAGGCCTGTTTCCTTCTTTATTTATGGATTAATTTTACATTTCATAAATAAAAGTATCTTATTTCTATTTAATTAGAGGCTATAACAAGATTCTCAATGTACTAAAATAGCACATTCTAGTGTGCTTTGTCCCCACTTGATGGATTCAAAAATAATTCACAAGGAAATCTTGGCAGATATTACAAAGATGGGTGGCACTTGATTTCGTCTTCTATTTTTATATGGTTCACTGGATGCATCAACTAAATATGTTATAGAATTAGCAACATGTTCACCCTGATAGATGCTGTCTGTTTTAACCTTAGCACCTATGAGCTGCAAACGTCTGCACAACCATAAGATCCAAAGAATGAGGGCAGGGCAAGAAGCAATGGGTGGAAGCTCATTAAAGAGATATCCAACCTGGAACTAAGGCAAAATTTCCTGAAAGAGAGAACAATTAATCAATGGAACAGCTTGCCTCTTGGAGTTGTGGGTGCTCCATTGCTGAAAGACTTCAAGACAAAATTGGGATGGTGTACATTCTCCTGCTTTGGGCAGGGGGGTGGGTGGACTAGAAGACATCCGTGGTCCCTTCCAGTCCTATGATTCTATGTTAAAATGACACCAAAGAAATGCCCTAAACCTAGTGACCATTTGGGTTTTTGCTGCCGAGATCTACAGTTCTTCAAACCCCAGTGTTTGCTCTCCAATTGCATTACGCAAATGGCCTTTGGGCAAATATCTTTAAGATATATAATTATATGCTGAATAATTCCAATTTGAATAGGATTATAGACTTGCTTTCAATGAATGATTTTAAACAATGGAAGTGGACTTTAGAAAAGTGTTAGAAGTATTACCTATAAGATTCATTTTTTTTTTCATATTAATGATGCCTGTGAGACAAAAATTAAAGCATAAGTGAATGAAGGTCATATTGATTTTGCACGAAGATAGGCAAAATGTATGTTGTCATTGTCGTTTTAACCATTCAGTTGTCTTCAACTCTTGGCGACTTTATAGGCAAGTGCTCTCCATTCTACCCCATGAAGCACAGCTTCTTTCAATTGTTAGATGTTCAACTTTGTATCAGATTTGATGTTTTCAAGCATATTTATTTATTTATTTATTTATTTGTTTAAATTTCTATACCGCCCTTCTCCAAATAGGACTCAGGGCGGTGCACAGCCTAAGTAAAAACAAAGCATACAAAATTTAAAAAACAGTATTAAAATAATTAAATATTCTGGCTGTAAATTAAAACAACCCAATTTAAAATCAATTTAAAATTTAGCTCAAGCCAGCCCAGCTAGTTGAAATAAATAAGTTTTCAGGGCCCGACGAAAAATCCGGAGGTCTGTTATTATACGTAACTCTGGGGGAAGGTTATTCCAGAGGGTGGGCGCCGTCACAGAGAAGGCTCTCCCCCTGGGGGTCGCCAGCCGACATTGTCTGGCGGACGGCACCCTGAGGAGGCCCACTCTGTGCGAGCGTACTGGCCGGTGGGAGGCTATTGGTGGCAGTAGGCGGTCTCGTAAGTACCCCGGCCCTAAGCCATGGAGCGCTTTAAAGGTGGTCACCAACACCTTGAAGCGCACCCGGAAGACCACCGGGAGCCAGTGCAGCTCGCGCAGGAGAGGTGTCACATGGGAGCGCCTCGTCGCCCCCATAATCCCCCGCGCGGCCGCGTTCTGGACCAGCTGGAGCCTCCGGGTGCACCCCAGGGGGAGCCCCATGTAGAGAGCGTTGCAGTAGTCCAGGCGGGAAGTGACTAGTGCCTGAGTGACTGTGCGTAGAGAGTCCCGATCTAGAAAGGGGCGCAACTGGCATATCAGGCGAACCTGATAAAAAGCCCCCCTGGCCACGGCCGTCAAATGGTCTTCTAGAGACAGCCGTGCATCCAGGAGGACGCCCAAGTTGCGAGCCCTCTCCGTGGGGGCGAGTGATTCTCCCCCAATAGCCAGCGATGGTGTCAGCTGGCTATATCGGGACGCTGGAAGCCACAGCCACTCGGTCTTGGAGGGGTTGAGTCGGAGCCTGTTTCTCCCCATCCAGGCCCGCACGGCCTCCAGGCACTGGGACATCACTTCAAGGGCATCGTTGGGGTGGCCTGGGGTGGAGATGTACAGCTGGGTGTCATCAGCGTACTGATGGAACTCCACCCCGAAGCCACGGATGATCTCACCCAGCGGCTTTACATAAATGTTGAACAGAAGGGGCGAGAGGACCGACCCTTGTGGCACCCCACAAGCAAGGTGCCTCGGGGTCGACCGCTGCCCCCCCGTCAACACAGATTGCGACCGGTCAGAGAGGTAGGAGGAGAACCACCGCAGAACGGTGCTCCCCACCCCCAACCCCGCTAACCGGTGCAACATGATACCATGGTCGATGGTATCAAAAGCCGCTGAGAGGTCTAACAGGACCAGGATAGAGGAGCAACCCCTATCCCGAGCCCTCCAGAGATCATCCACCAACGCGACCAATGCCGTTTCCGTGCTGTGCCCAGGCCGGAAGCCGGACTGGAGCGGGTCCAGATAGACAGTTTCATCCAGGTACCGGGGAAGCTGTTGCGCTACCACACTCTCAACAACCTTCGCAACGAAGCGAAGGTTGGAGACTGGACGATAGTTAGCCAAAACAGCCGGATCCAGAGAGGGCTTCTTGAGGAGGGGCCTCACAACCGCTTCTTTCAAAGCGGCCGGCAGGACCCCCTCACTCAAAGAAGCGTTAACAATCTTCTGGAGCCAGCCTCGTGTCACCTCCCGGGAAGCCAGTACCAACCAGGAGGGACACGGGTCCAATAAACATGTGGTCGCGTTCAGCCGTCCCAGGACCCTGTCCTTGTCCTCAGGAGCCACAGGATCGAACTCCCCCCAGATAACACTCTCAAGACCTGCCTCAGTCATCCCGTCCGGACATACCCAGTCAGAGGCCAGCCCTTCCCGAATCTGAGCGATTTTGTCATACAGATACTGCACAAAGTCCTCAGCTCGGCCCTGCAAGGGGTCATCCCGCGCTTCCAGATGGAGGAGGGAGTGGGTCACCCTAAACAGGGCGGCCGGGCGATTATCTGATGACGCGATAAGAGCGGCAAAATAGCTAGATTTTGCCGCTTTTATTGCCACTAGGTAGGTCTTAATATGAGACCTCACCAGTGTTTGGTCGGATTCGGAGCGGCTGGTCCTCCAACTACTCTCCAGGCGTCTTTTCCGGCGCTTCATCTCCCTAAGCTCCTCGGAGAACCAAGGAGCTAGGTGAGTTCGGTGCCGGGTCAGAGGCCGCAAAGGCACGACACGGTCCAAGGCCCCGGCAGCCGCACTATCCCAGGCGGCCACCAGGTCCTCAGCCGAGTCGTGAGCC